CTCCCGTCTCCCTCCCTTGATGCTGCCTCCCTGTCTTCCCTCCCTCCCAGGCAGCCTGGAATGAATTTGCCCGGTCATGTAGAGCCGTGTCAGAGCGAGGCGAAGCTGGCAATTCATCACCCGGCTGCCTGCCTGTCACTATTTCTCTCGCTTGTGTGTATGTGTGTGTGTGTGTGTGTGTGTGTGTGTGTGTGTGTGTGTGTGTGTGTGTGTGTGTGTGCAGGCAGGCGTCGGTTGGCCTGCTGTCAGAGCCCCTCACCACCGTGTGTACCTCCGTCCCCTCAGGACTTCCAGTAAAGACTGAGAGACTGAGAGAGGCCCTTCGCTCTCCTCCTCCGCTCTGACAGCCCCCTGCAGACGCCTGGATGGATGGATAGAGGTGGAAGAAGGGTGAGGCAGGAGGGGGGGAAGGAGAGGGACCCAATTATCCCAGAATGCAGCGGTAGGTGGTGTTTAAATCAGGCGGTGCGACCCCTGACCTCAGCAGTCCATTGGCAGGAGAGTGAGGTGCGTTAGCAAGAAGCTGCCCCAGTGTTGAAGAAAGCTAATGGAGCTCCATTTTAGCGGCATTTTGTCCTCGAGGCGTGGCGGCCCTGCGGCGCTGCAAAGATTAGCCATTACCCCCCCCCCCGTAAATGCACCACAGGCCTCACTGAAGCTGTCTCTCAAGACCATTAAGAGGCCAGAAATCTCCTGTAGAGACACGGAGAGACAGCGGACACACTTCCAGCTGCTGATCGGCCCATTTGAAAGAGCCATTAGGGAGGCGAGCTCCGCAGAACCACGGCTTAACTGACTGGATGAAGCCACTTTACTCATAACACGCGGAACTGCAGGGAAAATGAGTTTACAGATAATTTACTGCCACTTTTCTCCTCGCGCTCTCTGGACAGACACCAGAGCGTGATGAGAACAAATGACTGGGAATCAAACGCATGCCATGAAGCAGGAGAGAGAGGGGGGGCAATTTAACATCACATTTCTTAGATGGAAGAACTGAAGAGAGCAGGCGAACTATGTTTCCCCCCCGAGAACAAAAGGTGTAATTCACTGTAAAAGAAAAGAAAAGAAGAAACCTTAAGTTATTTCAATTTGAAACTGAGGCCTGAACGTTTTCTTTTGAGTTCTATTTCACCCAATTTATATATAAATGCATTTTCTGTCTTACCTGTAATTTGCTATTTGTGTAATGAGCTTCTATTTATCTACGCGTTAGATATCTGCCTCCATAATGGAGATGAATGGAATTAAGTTTGTTTCTACACCTATCCCTGTTGTAGAATTATGAGAACACACTAGAGGTATTTCAGTTTTTTTATTCAGTGTATTTTGGTTGTGTAGTTTGTTCTGGAAATTATTTTCATTTGTTTTAACGATTTTAAAATGAAAGTAAAGCATTCAGGTGCTCTAAGAAATGTCATTTGTATTCTGTATTACAGAGGAGGTTGATTAAAGATAGAGAGCAGAGCAGATTCAGGTAGAATACTTCTTTCTGACTCTTGAAATGTTTTATGAGGAATAAAGGCTACACATACACTAAAGGCCTGAGTGATTAATACAGATGAAATACTCAGATCAGATTCTTCTGAGTCTGATTGTAGCAAACATGTTGTTCAGCCTGTTGCGCCTGTAGTATGCACACTCCACATTTAAAATGGTGAATAGCCAAATGGTGCAAGTAAAAGTTGTGCTGATAAAATCTTTTTCATAAAGACGCTGTTTGTGTTAAGATTCCTGCCATCTTTATATTGTGCCTCTTTATTATTGCCTTATATTTGGCCTCGTTGCTTTGGTTTCTGTGACATGTCCGAGACAAATATGTACGGTTCAATTTAAACCTCAAATGGAGAAGATCATGTTGTGTTTTGACAGAAAACAAACAGAGAGCTTACCTCAGATTCCAATCCTTTAAGCATAATGTGGTTGATGAGGATCAGATGTGGTGTGTGATGAGGTGGAACTCCGAAAGCCAACCATATATACAGACTGAGGTGGAGGACTCTCCAAAAAGAGTTGAAATTGATTGCAGTTTTTCTGTCTGAGTTGGACTTCTGTGTGTCTGTGATTCTGGATCCAAGCTAATGCATTAACATGGAGAAAACTATGAAACAAAGGCTCATCATACAGAGATGTGTTTGCACTAGCAGCATCCTGAGGCATCTTTTTAAACCCTGTAGCCACTTATATATGTATTATATCCGACTTAATGTACGTTCAGTGGCATACATACAGTGGGGCAAAAAAGTATTTAGTCAGCCACCAATTGTGCAAGTTCTCCCACTTAAAAAGAGGAGAGAGGCCTGTAATTTTCATCCTAGGTATACCTCAACTATGAGAGACAGATTGAGAAAAGAAAATCCAGAAAATCACATTGTCTGATTTTTAAATAATTTATTTGCAAAATATGGTGTAAAATAAGTATTTGGTCACCTACAAACAAACAAGATTTCTGGCTCTCACCCCTGTGCTTCTTCTTTATAGCCTCTTGTGTCCTTCCACTTGTTAAACTGTATTAATGGCACCTGTTTGAACCGTTGATCGTTAAAAGACACCTGTCCACAACCTCAAACAGTCACACTCCAAACTCCACTATGGCCAAGACCAAAGAGCTGTCAAAGGACACCAGAAACAAAATTGTAGACCTGCACCAGTCTTGGAAGACTGAATCTGCAATAGGTAAGCAGCTTGGTGTGAAGAAATCAACTGTGGGAGCAATTATTAGAAAATGGAAGACATACAAGACCACTGATAATCTCCCTCAATCTGGGGCTCCACGCAAGATCTCACCCCGTGGGGTCAAAATGATCACAAGAACGGTGAGCAAAAATCCCAGAACCACACGGGGGGACCTAGTCAATGACCTGCAGAGAGCTGGGACCAAAGTAACAAAGGCTACCATCAGTAACACACTACGCCGCCAGGGACTCAAATCTTGCAGGGGAATTTAGTACAGGTGTACCTATCCTATGATTTATGTAACCGTGTACGTAGAACCACGGATAGAAAGACAAAACCACCAGTACGGTGTTGGCAGTGCCTTCCGTACGGACTCAAGAACCCAAAAAAAACAGTCCCACTCTATGTCCATTAGACAATTCTCCAACGAAAAAGGGAAACGTGTCGTACTTTTTTCGGTTCCTTACCGACACCTAAACTCACAAAATTCGTCTACAGTTAGTAAACATGCGCTGGAGCCTCCTGATAACTTTTTTCCAACTTTGCCGGGAACTCTCCTTTTTCCAGGGGTCCGTGGGGACGAGATTTCCGAGAGATCGTTTGAAGTCTGCCCGGGACCTGTACATACCGAATTCGTCCCCCTG